TTTTTTGAGACAGGATTTCTCTGTGTAGTCCTGGCTGTCCTGAAACTCACTTTGTAGACCTCACTTGTTTCAAACTCACAGAGATCTACCTGCTTTTGCTTCCTAAGTGCTGACATTAAAAACATGCATTACCACCTCATGCCTGTGACAGCTTTTCAAATGATATTAAAAAGAAAACTGAACCATCATATACTCACCCCCCAGATTTATTGATTGCTAATTTAAGGCTAACTTTGTTTTAGCTGCACTTGCTTACCCACTCTCCCATTGCACATACAACAATAACAAAAACAACAATGACAAACCATCTATTATTCTTCTTAATTTATATGAATTGAATGTGTTTTATTTGTCACTAAATTCATCCCTTATAATGCTCATTTATATGAATTGTGACTACCCACCTCCCATTCAATATATCACGACTACAATTAAGGTAGAGGATATTTTCATTTTCCTCATAATATTCATTTTGATCCCATGTAATGAATCTCTTTCCTGTTTTGTTCTCTGGCACCCACTCTCTGGTTTCTGTCTCTATAATTTTAACCTTTCCCATATATAACTATAGATATTACATGGTATCTACACATTTGAGCTTGTTTTTCCTACTTGGCATCATGGAGTTGCCTTCATCTTTGATGCTGCATGAGCCAATAATCTATTTCTTTTCATGGCTAATAACTAACTCTTCCACTCTACAGAATCCATACCTAATGGACATATTGACTTTTTACAGTTGAGGACATTATTAAGCCAGTTTAATTTTCATGTAATTTCAGTTTTTCAGGGAAAAAGTAGGATTTCTCATTAAAAGGAAAGTTGTACATCTCTATTGACAAGTTTGATTGCTCTCTAGCTGCTCCCCAAGCCGGGTCCTGGCATTGCCCTGCTTCTCTAAATCATTCTGACTTGTGTGTCTTTCCACTCTTGTCGTCTGCATGGGCATTCCCAATAATGATAAAAAAGTATCCTTTTCACTACTTCAGAATAGTTCTGTAGCATAAAAAGATACTGTTTTCTATATGCTAAATTTTCCTGATTTATATTTATCTACTGATGGATTGGTATACTCCGTGTATATTTTTTTTTCACTTAGTGTTGGTTTCAATTTTGATACATGGTTCCTGTAAGTTGTCCAGTCTGGCTTTGAATTCACAGTATAGGACAGAAAGATGTTAAACTTGCCTCTCTTTTGCTTCAGCATCCCAAGCTTCTGGCATAACACTCTGAGTCATAAGACTTAGCTTCATTTATGTGTTTGTTGTTCAATTGTTCATTCATTCATTCATTCATTCATCCATCCATCCATCAATTCATTCATTTTTTCTTCCAGACCTATTGCTAGTTTATCATAGCAATAATGTCACAGCATAGAAAACATATCATAGTCTACTAGGGAAATAACAAAAGGAATAACAAATCAACTAGCATAGGCCATATTGGCGAAATAAATAATCTTACCATACATAAGGGTAAATTGAAACACTCCAGGTACAATTAAATTCCTGCCTTTATAATAACATATCTTTTGAGGACTTTTGCAGAACGGTAGCAAAGCATTATGTTTAAAACTGTTGCATACATTGAATATAATAAAATATGAATTTTGCATTTTCTGTAGGAACTACTTCTGCTAAACAAAATAGCTTCTGAAAGGACATTTCTCTCATTGAAATATTCTAGTTAATAAATTGAGAAGAAATGACCAGATTAGGATGCACTATTTGCTATTGCTAATGAATTAATATATTTAGCTAATGGTTTTCCCTGGCTGCTAACGTCGGAAAAAAGAAATAAAATGGGACATAAAAGGCTAGAGCTTCTAAAACACTTTCTTTATAGTTTAATTTACTCTATCTCACCATATGATTCTAACAAGCTTGGGAGCAACGACAACCAAAAATTAGTATATACAGTAAAACACAAACACACACACACACACACACACACACACACACACACACACACATACACTGGCTTGCTTCATTCAATGCAAGATATCTCACAATTTAAAGAAAAAAACACAACATAGTATGATAATAAAAACTACAATTTAATCCTGCTATTAAATAAAAGTTATTTTATTTTAGAAATATATTAATGTAGAATATAGACATATGTAATTCCTATGTCAACATTAGGTCACTGAAGATTATGCTGTTACTTATCTAGAACTTTTATGCTTTGGAAATATTTTGTTATTTCCCTAATAGGTGGCAGGATTAGCAATTAATTCACATTAGCTGAAGTGAGGACATGGTGGTCTTTTCTTCCATCTTCTTCCAGTAATCTCCAAAATGTCTTAAGACATATTTTTGAAACTAGTACATCAAAGGCTATCTGCATCTCATGCCCATTGTAGCAAGCTTTATAGTTGCTAAGAAATGGAAAGATGAAACATAAAGAAAATATGATATATATCCACACTGAAATACTATGTATGAATAAAAAGAATTGAAGTTTTTCCTTGACACCACATGGGAGATTATTATCATGAGTA